AGAGAATGCTGTTTTTATTACACTCGAAATCGTATTAATTTTCATCTAATTAATTTTCTTAAAACCCTCATTATAGTTTTTGCTTCAACTCAGTTAATTTTCGTCACCATACAGAAAACTGTACTACTGTATTTTTTGACGCTGTACGGTGACGCCTGCTTACGCGATGGTTAGGCGTGATAATGGCGTCAAAAAACCGAAGTGTCATCATGAGCGCCCGGATAGCTCAGTCGGTAGAGCATCAGACTTTTAATCTGAGGGTCCAGGGTTCGAGTCCCTGTTCGGGCTGTCAAATAATTTTACCAATTGCTTCTTTTTAGAAAGATCTAGGTACACGTCGCACGAAACTGGGGACAATTAGTGTAACATAATGGCCAGGGGGGGAGATTTCCCAAAGATGCCCTATCATATTAGCACGTTCGAAAACAAATTTTATAAACAGGCCTCAATTTTCCGTTGAAATGGATCTCCAAATGTTCACTGTAGTTTTATGAGTATTCTCTACAAGTATGGATCGAGTAACCTCAATAGTATTACCGTAGGTTTGAAATGACGATGTTGAACTGATGTAAACGCCATTCTCACGATTTAAAATTTAACTCTGCGCATGCGCAGCACTGAGAGAGCATGTGCCCATGATTGTTCACGTGATCGAATCCTGCAATTTGATTGGAGATGATGCAAGAGATGATGTAATGGGGAATCCCCGAATACGATAGAATATGAAAGAATTATGGGAGCTACTCACTCCTCCTGATAATGGCGTCAAAAAACCGAAACAAAACAATGGTATAGGGCGCAAACAGCCTTACAACGTCAAAAACGACAAGCGTCACATTTTTTCAAGTTTAGTCAACCTAAAAATAAAATACTTCATCCTTATCTAATCATGACAAAATTCACAGTGTAGCAAGATCCATCCTCCGATCACAGGGCTTCAAAATCCAGAATATCTTCTTTCTTTTTACACCCTGCTATAAGCAGTTAGCATTTCCCCGATTAAGAACTCGCAATCTGATTGGTTGTCGCAACACTGCGACATAAATCATGTATAAGTCATTGCGCATAATGAGATCACGTGATTCAGTTTAATCGGGCGCTTCCAAATTGGTTATAGCAGGGGGAAGAAGGAGGTACGGATTCTGGATACCTGCTTAGGAGGATGAGCAAGATCTCGAGGACAATATTTCTAAAATGTTTTTGAATTTTGAAAAACGGTCAAGAAATCCACTTGGGGCATTAGTAAAAATTCACGTCACAATTGCTTAACGGCTACAGTTTAAATTATCTTATACGAACGCTTTCAAATGATATATGAAACACATAGTTAGCTTTTTAAATAAGGCCGAGATTAACGCTCAAATCTGAGATCAGCACGCATTTCCCGAATTGTCCCAAGGTCATAATGTCAATTATTTTAAAATTTTCCAAAATGAAGTTTATTTTAGAATAATTGCATTCAAACAATCTTTGAAATGATGTATTACAGAAGGCTGTTTTTCGATTCGCGGATCTAAAAGTAATTTGTTTATCTCGGGTAAATTCAAACTTGATATATATATTATAAGTATTATTGAGGGTACGGCGCTCGAGTCCCTGATCTTTTTTTACCTCTTAAAAAGCAGCTAATTGTCCATAATGTGAACGATTTCTTATGTTTATTTTTGGGGTTTCCTTTTTACAATATATCAATAATTAAAAATATATATTTTCAACGCATTCAAACAATCTTTGAAGACTAATTTTCGAGGTCGTGAGTTCGTGAGTTTGTGAGCATATATTTTTGCGATTAGGCTCAATAAAGTCTGTAATCAGAGATTATCGGTGGCTATTATGTGAAATAAATATACATGACTTCTAATTAACTGTATGAGCGCCCGGATAGCTCAGTCGGTAGAGCATCAGACTTTTAATCTGAGGGTCCAGGGTTCGAGTCCCTGTTCGGGCTATCGCTTTTACTCTTGAAACGTTTTGCCAGAGTTTTTGTGTTTTCTTTTTATTGCCAATAAATGAGTTATTTCACACATTTTCATAAAGTAGTTCATTCTACATTCAAACATTCGAACAAACCCTTTTATAATTGGATATTGGCATGCACTTATTTCAAATTGTCTCATTTATAGTCTCCACATTTCATCTCTCAATTTATCTTCGTCAAATCGTTTATCTCTTTTGGATGTCAAACTTCAATTGCATATTTTTATATGACGGTTTTCATTGCGTATTAATCGTAATATGTGACATGAAAATAATTGGTTATAATCCATTTGAGACCATCTTAGTTAGATTACCTATACTATACTGCACATAAACTGAAAAGGTTAAAGGTACACAACAGATGTTTATTTTTAAGCTTACCACGGCAACAGGTGAGATAACGGTTATAAGTCTAAAACTAAATAGCAAGCAATGTCAAAAAACAGCTTTGCTAGAAAATTACGATGGAATAACTGGCATTTTTAATTCTTTCGTTTTGTTTGCTCAATGTTACGTTTCTTGATATGTCATTAAAATGAAAAATGCGTGTTTTCTTGTAAATTCATAAACTTTTAAGAGATCTTAGAAGTGCTGGATTTGTATCATGTACGAGGGTTGTCCCAGAAGTAATGCACTATAAGCTCTAACTTTCTTAAATATTCTTCAATTCAGCTGAAATTTTGTGTATATAACAATTGAAGTTTTATCTATTATATCCTGAAGTTTCAGCATCCAACATTAATATTAAGTCTTAATATGGTTACTATAACAACATGGGGGCAGGGGTGGGCGGGGCAGGTACCAATTTTTCTAATTATGAAAAGATCTAAAGTGTTATTTTATTAATATTTCTTTCCTTTAAATGGTCAAAATGTTGGGGAAATTGTTAAATTTATTCAGCATGATGTTAACCAAGTACGAATAATGACATTTAGCACTGTGATGTCATAATACCACATTCCAATAGTCATGAATTCAAATACAGTCACAGTCAAGAAATCGCAAAAATGGCTGCAATTCTCACCTGATAACAGAAGGCCTTGCGTTTGGTGGCCTAATTTCATACTTCACTCGAACTCACAGCCACGCAAAACAATGCTACCATGAAGAAAGTATATAAGGATTATATACCAGATAGAACTACAATTATGGGGTGGCAGAAGAGATTTAAAAGAGACGATTTGACCCTGTATGACAACTCAAAACATGGGAGGCAAAAACTCCACAAGTCACAGTGGAAGAAATTGCCAAGAGTGTTTGACCTGACATGCATCAAAAGTACATAACATGCAAAGGGCAATATTTTGAGAAAATGTGAAATGGGATACTGTGCAATATACATCCATTAAATCTAGGATGTGCTCATAGTAATTTAGTATCTTAAAATGTATTTTTGAGCATACTTCTTATAGCTACAACAAATGGTATTTGTTGATTAATTATTTCATATTTTCAATTTTTTATTCTTTTTGACGTGACTGTATAACCTGCCCCGCCCTACCCAAACTCACCAACTTGATTTTATCATAACATCAATACAGTTTTATCAGTCAACATGAACATTTTTAGAACAATCAAAATGTCTCCAAGGAACATTTACAGAAAATTTCATGGAAAAATATCAATTATTGATAAAGTTAGAGCATATAGTGCATTACTTCTGGGACAACCCTCGTACTTCAGCCAAACAAACCTACTTGTCTTTATAACCATATTTATCTATGCCTTTGATGTTGGAAGTACCCAAAGATGATTTGATGTAAATAAAAGTGTTGCAACATATCTGGGGTGTGGCAAATGAATCGCTGCCTTTATCTCAGCCCCTGTTGGCTTTTAATCCATGTATCTAATGCAGGTTACCAGATAGGCCTCCTCCTAAAAGGCAGATCTAGGGCTCCCGGCCGTATCAACCAAACAACCCCGGTACATCTTTTCTCAAGGAAATGCGTATTGCTCAAATATTCCCTACTAATATTAATCTTGATTAGAAATATTAACGTTAGCGCCTTTGTCGGGGTGCGTATCGTTGGGACGTAAAATGCATTTTGGATTGGAATGGGAAAACTGGTTAGAATTCATGTTCGTTCAAAATGAAAGAATGTGTCAAATTCACGCATATGCCTGTGTGTTAACGTCATGTATGCGGTGAATAGTCAAAACTGTGGACCGTTTTAAACTAATCATAACCGAGCATTGAGATAGTGATACTAAGATCATCTCCGCACTATCGGTCTTGATAGCGTTCATCGACCGACGGGAGCCGAGTGAACGAAAATGAGCATAGTTGGGAAACACATATTTGCTATCTATTATCCATATATTCAGCCCTCCAACAGTTAAGCTTGCAGAACACTGCTAATGTCGGTAGCAGTTACTATTCAAACTCTGTTATCGATAAGAAGATAAACTTTCTCATGGTTCTCTGTTTCTGGCGTTCAACAAGATCTACATGATGTTATACGTGAGCAAAATACTTGTAAGGTAAATCATATCTGCATCAGATATACCAGACCAATTTTAGGTTTCCTTTCAAGACCATACTTTTATTTTGTTTATATATAGGTGCGGATTTAGGTAGGCCGAGGGATGTGGTTTATTAACATGGATTCTGTTATGAATGTTTGTATACTCATCCCACCCAGCCCAACTTAAATCGCTTTCCCACACTGAGCCTAATCCGGAGATTTAAATATCAAGTTAGTAGATGGATTTACTTCAGTTTTGAATCATAGTAAATTATCCAGTGGAGTATCATACGCCAAGTCAGTGGTTACTGGTTAGGTTGCCCAGACTAATCAGGCCGATCCGTTCACCTTTGGATTGGAAGTCATGTAATTTATTAACGTGGTGATAAACAAGATATGCAAAATGTATCACATTCTTAACATTATTTGATGTAGTATTACATTACTGTTGATTATTTATTTAATGAGAAAATAATTTCTAAGTATACACTTAATTATTGTATAGATAATTTATGTTTATCTTACTTTTGGAAAATATAACCGTATGAGGTTCTCTTACCCTAGATTCAGATGTCGAACGGTACCTCTTCACAGGCATTTTAATAATCTTGTCGTCGGATGTTATGATGATACCAAAGCCTGCATATTCAGAAAATTTACGAGGTTGGCTTTTGTCAAAATTATCGAAGTAGACCTCCGAATCGTGAAATTTGCCCTTCTTCGCATTTTCCTTGTCTTTCGTCGATTTCGGCACTTTGACAATTTCATATCTTTTTTGTGATGGCATCTTTGACCTTGAAACTGAGGACACGCTAGATGATCGTTTCTTTGTTGATGATGTATGCCTACGAGGGGGTGACACTGATGGTCTGTTGCTATAGCGATTTTTTCTTGGTACGTATTCATATACAACTGGTCTGGGTGATGTACGGTCATAATATGCAGATTTTGAGGGTATATATTCATAGTCATATGCTTCAAATGGTTGGGGCGTTGGCTTATATTTTTTCGACTTTCTTGCTGCTTTATAGTCATATAATTCCGTGTCTAGTTCGTTGTCAAGATTTGACAAGTCAGGTTGAAAGATTCCATCAAAGGTATATAACCCTGGTCCAGAAGTTATTTTCCCCCTATTGAAGTCGGATATAATGTCAGCAGAAGACGGGACGTGTGGAGACTTAACTGGCTCCGGAGATTTGGTCCTATAAGATGCTAAAGACTCTGATGACCTAGAAAACGAAGTCGAAGACAATGGTGCAGCAAGTGGTCTCTTAGTAGATGTGCCCGACGAACTTGACCTGTGAGGAATTGGGGTTGGGCCGTATTCTGCTGCAATGCTATCGTAATAATTCGATCGTCTTCTATAAGAAGGGGTGTGTCCAACTGAAGAATACCTTTGAGAAGACAGTTTATCTGTAGAAGAAGAATAAGCCACAGGTCCATATGACGATGGCCTCGACGACCGTTTTGCATATTCAGGCCCGTATGGTGTTTTCGAATAAGCTACAATAGCTTCAGAAGAGGGTTTGGCGTACGATATTGGAACATAAGAATCCTGGGTGCTTTTCTTAGGTAGCCTATAGATGATATAATCCCTAGTATTGTTCGCTGATCTCTGACTGGACGAGGACCTCGTAGATTCAGGTTCCACCGTCGATGCTCTGGTGGCGGCCCGAGACCGAGAGGGCACAGGTGCAGTGATCGCAACATACTCACTCTTGCCAGCCGATTGAGACCAAATCGACATTATGGTAAATCCTTGTAGATCCAAAAATCGGTAACGAAACTACTTGGAATTATTTCTCTCAACAGCGGGCCTTCATACACTAATTCGTAGAATATGCCGTTGGTTATTCCATGCACATCTATATTTATATATATTTGGCAATGGATTCACCTCAGATGATGAAACGTGAACTTTGCTTTAGTGGTTCTCACCTGTCGATTTCGAATTCACCTGAGGTTTCAGCCCAAAAGATATTCCACATCAATGTACTGGCACCGCCTGTAAAAAACGCCCGTATATTGTAAGCCTAATCCCAAGGGTATTTTCCAAGTATTTGTTGTGATCTAAACATCCATTTGGTAATCCAAACTAATAAGCAAGGAAGATACCGACTTGAGAAGGGTTGCAGCTACGGTCGGAGGCTGATGATCATGATCCTAAATTAGTACAGGCTGTATGTAAGCCGGCTCGTTGTTTATTTTCCGATACGGAGTTAACATATCACATGGACTAATAGCGTCCAATGAAAACACGGAATTTTAAAGGTTAAACCAATCAAAACACGCAATAGCGATCACGTGATCATGGATCTTGTAATTCATGTGTTGGAAGCTTATCTATCAGGTAAGAGAGCATCCATCAGCTGGTATGCAACTCCCACTAATCTGCCGTATTCGGTTTCAAGCCAGCAACAAAAATGGTAAATAGATTAGAAGGCACTGTACATGAGGCATCGCTCTTCTTATTACCAATTATCTCAGGTTGTACATTGCGGTTATTCCTTCTTTCCATTACGGATTGGAGGATTAGTAGCAATGTATTAGAATTATGTAATGAAGAGAGATGATATAGTAATACGATTGTCTAAACAAATCTTGCCTCCCCCTCTTTCATACAATTTATAATAAACCGGAGAAGGGGATTTATCAATTCATACTTTCCAAATTAATGTTTATAATTGAAATACTGTCCTCGATTCTTAAATAATATAAGAAAAACTCATTCGGTTCAGAACTCCAAACGACCAGCTTATTTTAATAATTCTAATAGACCAAATGAAAAGAGTGTTTTGTAACGAGTACGAGTCTATCATATTAATACGAGTGTCATGTTTTAATGAAGGTGCCAGTGTCGGATAGTAAGTATATGGGTGTTGTGTTTTACGTATGAGTGACTGTCGTATTTTAAATGCGAGCGTCTTCTTGTATGTACTACGAGTGTTGTATAGTAAGTACGACTTTTATGTTTTAACTACGAGTAATGACGAGTGTTATATTGTGAGAACGAGTGTCGTATAGTAAGTGTTGTGATGCAAGTACGAGTATCCTTTTAGTAAGTAAGAATACTAGTCTCGTGAGTACGAGTGTCCTGTGTTAAGTGCGAGTCGCGTGTTGTTACAATGTGTCGTGCTTTACGTGCGGGCGTCGTCTAGTAAATGGGGATGTTTTAAGTCATGAGTGCTTGGAAAATTTCGGAACATTTTATTTTCAACAATAAATACCTTTTGACTTTTATTTCAAATCTGATGATGTTAATGTTATGGAACGCCGTAGGTGGAAACGGTGTTTCCAGTTTATCGCTGATTTTATCAATACAAATAGCTTTCTTAAGTTCGATTTAAACAGGCCTCGGTTAAATAGGGTATTTATCCTTAACTTTGGAAAGCAAGGCAAAGGGAAAAAAGATTGGTCAACTTTATAGGTCATATAAAAAAATGAAGACATGCCAAAATAATTTTAAATCCGACATAGCCCTATAGTGACACTAAACCTGTTCAGCTGTATTTAAAAAGTCGACAATGCACGGGGTGTTACATATGAAGTTCAAACAAAAGAAACAATGTTGTATAATGATGAGGGTATATTGTTTATATCATGATCACTGTGATAGTACGTGTATATAGCAAGTTAATAAAAATAGTATTGAGCTGCCATACACCCCAAATATAGCCCACGTACACCGCCAGAAACATCCCGTACACCTCATCTCTGGATTTTATGAACTACCTATCCAGGCCCGTAAGACACTTTTCTCCAAGGGGGGTGCGGTTTTTTGCTTTGAGAATATAATTTTTTTGCCGCGTAAATCAAATCGCGTAAGACAGAGGGGGGGGGTCAGTTACTCCCTGTATTGGTTTGGAATTAACAAATGCATGCAACTTCCAAACGTTCCAATTGTTTTGTGGGGGGTGTAAGGAGTTGTCCACTCCCCCTAGAAAATTTTATAGTTTTGAGATGCTATTTGGTGCTTTCTGGGCACTTTCAAAGTGTAAGTTTCTAAGTAGTACGCCACCACCACAGGAATAAGAGTTGAGTGAATAAAAAACTGAGCATTCAGGGGGGTCCGGGGGTTCTCCCCCAGGAAATTTTTTAAATTTGGTTGTATTTGGAGCGAATTTGCAACCATCTGGTACGCCTGTGCGTTATGAGTCAATAAGAAAAATGTGAATTTTTTTCAAATTCTTTTGGGGGTGTCAAAAAGGATGAGAGGGTGAAGTGGGGTGGGGTGCCAGTAGGGGAGCAAGGGGTTGTCCCCCGGAAACATTGACCATATCAAGGTGCTATTTGATGTCTGTACACTTAAAGAATATCTGAGACAATGGCATGAAATTCAGAATATTTTCTTTTGTTTTGTGGGGGATGTGAGGGGTGGCTAACTCTCCTAGAAAATTTTACAATTTAAAGATGATATTTGGTGCTTCTGGGCACTTTTAAAGTATATTAGTCAATAAAAACATTGAAAAACAATCACATTTTTTTTTAAATTTTGGGGGGGTTGTCAAAGGGGGGAGGGGTGCCAGAGGGGGAGGTGGGGCTGGGGGGCAAGTGTTTGTCCCCCATATCAAAATTTACAATATCAAGGTGCTATTCGATGAAGTTTGGGCACTTAAAAAGTGTCTGTGCCTAAAAGTGCTTATTTCCCAAGAAAATTTTACAATTTTAAGATGCTATTTGGTGCTTTCTGGGCACTTTCAAAGGGTATGAGTCAATAAAAAATTTTGAAAAATCTCAAATTTTTTTTTTGGGTGGGGGGGGGGTGTTAAGGGAGGGGGGCTGCCAGAGGGGGAGGTGGAGTGGGGATGCCAGAGGGCGAGTAAGTGTTAGTCTTCCAGAATCATTAACTTTATCAAGGAGCTATTTGAAGATGTCTGGGCAATTTAAAAGTGTCTGAGACAATACATAAAACAAATTCAGAACTTTTCCATTGTTTGGTTTGGGGTGTGAGGTGTGAACCAATCCCCCTAGAAAATTTTACAATTTTACGACGCTATTTGGTGCTTTCTGGGCACTTTCAAAGTGTATGTGTCAATTAAAGAACTTGAGAAAATCAAAATTTTTTTTTTTGGGGGGGGGGGATCAAGGGGAGGGGGGGGGCAGAGGGGAGGGGGGGCAGAGGGGAGGGGGGGGCAGGCAAGTGCAAGATGCAAGAGGGTGAGTAAGTCCCCCAGAAACACTAACTATATCAAGGAGCTATTTGATGATATCTGGGCACTTTAAAAGTGTCTGAGACAAAACTCTAAAATAAATTTAGAACTTTTCCATTGTTTTATGGGGGGTGTGAGGGGTGGCCAATACCCCTAGAAAATTTTACAATTTTAAGATGCTATTTGGTGCTTTCTGGGTACTTTCAAAGTGTATGAGTCAATGAAAAAAAATTACAAAAAAAATATTTTTCAAATTTATTTTGGGGGGTGACAAAGGGGGGTGCGGTCGCACCCATCGCACCCCCCCCCCCCATCTGACGGCCCTGCTATCGCGTTTCGTTTCTTATAATTTTGTCATTTGTTTATTAATTAAGGTCATCACTCAGTCGGGATTGTATATTGGGTTAATCATGAGGGATGATATGATATCTTCCCGAGATATAATCGTAATCAATAATGAGATATTTCTTTATCTTGCTTGATCTCTTTATTTGAACTCCAATTAAATTTACATTGAATCCAAATGTCCTCTCCAAAGGTAAGCGTTGCAATAATCATCCAACGTGTGAAAGATCGAAATGAATCAATAGATCAGACTACCCAACCCTCCCCCTGTCCATCTAAAAAGGCTCAATCACAACGGGATCTAGTCTTCTAACCTGCACGTTTGGAATTTGAGTGTGCAATACAACGACGTACACGATTAGTTTTCTGTTTAACTACACTTTCTTTAACTACAAAATGTATAAACTTCTTTAAATTCTACAAAAAAACAAAAATGTATTGCAACCATTTACAATCTGAATGATGTGTATTTATTTTGTTGATTCACATATTGGATATAATTATTGTCTACAATCAGGTAGTTAGGTAGGTAGTTCGATATGTTATAAATAAACAAGTGGATATTTTAAAGGTCAAATGTGAGATAGTGAACTTATCTGTAACTTGGCAGCAGGTGCCAAATAATATGTCTCATAATATCAGAGCATGTTTCAGGTGAAACAGAAAGATGCGAGGAGTATCAGAATGCTTGAATGCAGGTCACAGATACTGGTTCCTCAACTGCCCGGCTAGCTCAGTCGGTAGAGCATGGGACTCTTAATCCCAGGGTCGTGGGTTCGAGCCCCACGTTGGGCGCATTTTTTGATCCAAAGCCTACCTTATTGTCCAGAAATCAGCCTCGTGTAGGTCACACAAAAAATGCACGTTGCCCATGTGTCCTCAACTGCCCGGCTAGCTCAGTCGGTAGAGCATGGGACTCTTAATCCCAGGGTCGTGGGTTCGAGCCCCACGTTGGGCGCATTTTTTGATCCAAAGCCTACCTTATTGTCCAGAAATCAGCCTCGTGTAGGTCACAAAAAAATGCACGTTGCCCATGTGTCCTCAACTGCCCGGCTAGCTCAGTCGGTAGAGCATGGGACTCTTAATCCCAGGGTCGTGGGTTCGAGCCACACGTTGGGCGCATTTTTTGATCCAAAGCGTACCTTATTGTCCATAAATCAGCCTCGTGTAGGTCACACAAAAAATGCACGTTGCCCATGTGTCCTCAACTGCCCGGCTAGCTCAGTCGGTAGAGCATGGGACTCTTAATCCCAGGGTCGTGGGTTCGAGCCCCACGTTGGGCGCATTTTTTGATCCAAAGCCTACCTTATTGTCCAGAAATCAGCCTCGTGTAGGTCACAAAAAAATGCACGTTGCCCATGTGTCCTCAACTGCCCGGCTAGCTCAGTCGGTAGAGCATGGGACTCTTAATCCCAGGGTCATGGGTTCGAGCCACACGTTGGGCGCATTTTTTGATCCAAAGCGTACCTTATTGTCCAGAAATCAGCCTCGTGTAGGTCACACAAAAAATGCACGTTGCACATGTGTCCTCAACTGCCCGGCTAGCTCAGTCGGTAGAGCATGGGACTCTTAATCCCAGGGTCGTGGGTTCGAGCCCCACGTTGGGCGCATTTTTTGATCCAAAGCCTACCTTATTGTCCAGAAATCAGCCTCGTGTAGGTCACAAAAAAATGCACGTTGCCCCTGTCTCCTCAACTGCCCGGCTAGCTCAGTCGGTAGAGCATGGGACTCTTAATCCCAGGGTCGTGGGTTCGAGCCACACGTTGGGCGCATTTTTTGATCCAAAGCGTACCTTATTGTCCATAAATCAGCCTCGTGTAGGTCACACAAAAAATGCACGTTGCCCATGTGTCCTCAACTGCCCGGCTAGCTCAGTCGGTAGAGCATGGGACTCTTAATCCCAGGGTCATGGGTTCGAGCCACACGTTGGGCGCATTTTTTGATCCAAAGCGTACCTTATTGTCCAGAAATCAGCCTCGTGTAGGTCACACAAAAAATGCACGTTGCACATGTGTCCTCAACTGCCCGGCTAGCTCAGTCGGTAGAGCATGGGACTCTTAATCCCAGGGTCGTGGGTTCGAGCCCCACGTTGGGCGCATTTTTTGATCCAAAGCCTACCTTATTGTCCAGAAATCAGCCTCGTGTAGGTCACAAAAAAATGCACGTTGCCCATGTGTCCTCAACTGCCCGGCTAGCTCAGTCGGTAGAGCATGGGACTCTTAATCCCAGGGTCGTGGGTTCGAGCCCCACGTTGGGCGCATTTTTGATCAAAAGCCTACCTTATTGTCCAGAAATCAGCCTCGTGTAGGTCACACAAAAAATGCACGTTGCCCATGTGTCCTCAACTGCCCGGCTAGCTCAGTCGGTAGAGCATGGGACTCTTAATCCCAGGGTCGTGGGTTCGAGCCCCACGTTGGGCGCATTTTTTGATCCAAAGCCTACCTTATTGTCCAGAAATCAGCCTCGTGTAGGTCACACAAAAAATGCACGTTGCCCATGTGTCCTAAACTGCCCGGCTAGCTCAGTCGGTAGAGCATGAGACTCTACCTAGGGTCGTGGGTTCGAGCCCCACGTTGGGCGCATTTTTGATCAAAAGCCTACCTTATTGTCCAGAAATCAGCCTCGTGTAGGTCACACAAAAAATGCACGTTGCCCATGTGTCCTCAACTGCCCGGCTAGCTCAGTCGGTAGAGCATGGGACTCTTAATCCCAGGGTCGTGGGTTCGAGCCCCACGTTAGGCGCATTTTTGATCAAAAGCCTACCTTATTGTCCAGAAATCAGCCTCGTGTAGGTCACACAAAAAATGCACGTTGCCCATGTGTCCTCAACTGCCCGGCTAGCTCAGTCGGTGACTGAGCATGGGACTCTTAATCCCAGGGTCGTGGGTTCGAGCCCCACGTTGGGCGCATTTTTTGATCCAAAGCCTACCTTATTATCCAGAAATCAGCCTCGTGTAGGTCACACAAAAAATGCACGTTGCCCATGTGTCCTCAACTGCCCGGCTAGCTCAGTCGGTAGAGCATGGGACTCTTAATCCCAGGGTCGTGGGTTCGAGCCCCACGTTGGGCGCATTTTTTGATCCAAAGCCTACCTTATTGTCCAGAAATCAGCCTCGTGTAGGTCACAAAAAAATGCACGTTGCCCATGTGTCCTCAACTGCCCGGCTAGCTCAGTCGGTGACTGAGCATGGGACTCTTAATCCCAGGGTCGTGGGTTCGAGCCCCACGTTGGGCGCATTTTTTGATCCAAAGCCTACCTTATTGTCCAGAAATCAGCCTCGTGTAGGTCACACAAAATATGCACGTTGCCTACGTGTCCTCAACCGCCCGGCTAGCTCAGTCGGTAGAGCATGGTTGCACGTTGGGCGCACTTTTTGATCCAAAGCTACCTTATTGTCAAGAAATCAGCCTCGTTTAGCTCACACAAAATATGCACGTTGCCAACTCGTTAACTGCCCGGCCAGGTCAGTCGGTAGGGCATGGGACTCTTAATCCCAGGGTCGTGGGTTCGAGCCGCGCATATTTTGATCCAAAACCTACCTTATTGTCCAGAAATCAGCCTCGTGTACTAGGCCACACAAAATATGCATGTTGCCCATTGTTCTCAGAGCATGGGAATCTTAATCCCAGGGTCGTGGGTTCGAGCCGCGCATATTTTGATCCAAAACCTACCTTATTGTCCAGAAATCAGCCTCGTGTAGGCCACACAAAATATGCATGTTGCCAATTGTTCTCAGAGCATGGGACTCTTAATCCCAGGGTCGTGGGTTCGAGCCGCGCATATTTTGATCCAAAACCTACCTTATTGTCCAGAAATCAGCCTCGTGTAGGCCACACAAAATATGAATGTTGCCCATTGTTCTCAGAGCATGGGAATCTTAATCCCAGGGTCGTGGGTTCGAGCCCCACGTTGGGCGCATTTTTGATCAAAAGCCGACCTTATTGTCCAGAAATCAGCCTCGTGTAGGTCACACAAAAATGCACGTTGCCCATGTGTCCTCAACTGCCCGGCTAGCTCTAGGCAGAGCATGGGACTCTTAATCCCAGGGTTGGGGTTCGAGCCCCACGTTGGGCGCATTTTTTGATCCAAAGCCTACATGTACGTACCTTATTGTCCAGAAATCAGCCTCGTGTAGGTCACACACATATGCACGTTGCCTACGTGTCCTCAACCGCCCGGCTAGCTCAGTCGGTAGAGCATGGGACTCTTAATCCCAGGGTCGTGGGTTCGAGTCCCACGTTGGGCGCACTTTTTGATCCAAAGCTACCTTATTGTCAAGAAATCACCCTCGTTTAGCTCACACAAAATATGCACGTTGCCAACTCGTTAACTGCCCGGCTAGGTCAGTCGGTAGGGCATGGGACTCTTAATCCCAGGGTCGTGGGTTCGAGCCGCGCATATTTTGATCCAAAACCTACCTTATTGTCCAGAAATCAGCCTCGTGTACTAGGCCACACAAAATATTCATGTTGCCCATTGTTCTCAGAGCATGGGAATCTTAATCCCAGGGTCGTGGGTTCGAGCCCCACGTTGGGCGCTTTTTTGATCCAAAGCCTACCTTATTGTCCAGAAATCAGCCTCGTGTAGGCCACACAAAATATGCACGTTGCCCATTGTTCTCAACTGCTCAGTCGGTAGAGCATAAGAATCTTAATCCCAGGGTCGGGGGTTCGAGCCCCACGTTGGGCGCAATTGTCAGTAATCACAAACAAAACATATCAATAATATTTTATATCATTCATATTTAATTTGTTTTCCTATATCAGATATGATTCAACCAGAAATCAATCACCTGCTCGTGCTATATACGTATATGTTAAAATAAGGTTTTCCCTTTAAACTTAAGCAAAAAAAATAAAAATTACAACATGTCAATATTCAGTAGTATACACTACTATACGCTTTAATCTTTTTGATGCTTCTTGAAATCCAGTATAACAGACTGGTATCAAACGATGGATATATCATTTGCGGGTGACGTTCACTTCTGTTTGAAGTCCAATAACGCTGGGAGGAAAAGCTATTGAAAATGGCGGCGGAGTATCATATTCCAAAATGTACTATTCCTTGTTAACTTTTTAATGGCACAATATAGTGACACGACAATATTTGTATATGTTTTCAGCAGAACTATGAAGGTATAAATGTTGATGTATTTGGTCTTTTTGATTTTCTTATAAAAATTAATGTTTACATTTTTCGTCCGCTGCGTCACGTTTTAGAGTTTGATACTCTGGCGCCGTTTCCAATGACTTTTACTCCTAGCGTTATTGGACAGAAGTGAATGATACCCGCAAATGATATATCCATATCATGGAATGCACGTAAGTAATTTTCTTTGATATTACGAAACATATAAGTTAAGAAATAAGTTGTGGAGTATTCTTAGTGTTTTATGAAAAAATACCATGCTCCGTCAAAGCGGACAAAATTTTCGATACAAGCCTGTGAGTATGAAATCTGATCATAACTGATCAGTGTTTAGACATTCTAAATATGTATAAGATGATTTCAAAAACATATGGTCAAAATGATTTCAATTTCAATCTATAGCTATCGCTTATGTTTCAGGATATTTTTGTTTGACTGTTCATGATGTGTTTTCGATTTCCTCCTTTCCATAGATTTTACGACATCATGTCGTCTGATCTCTTGCAATGCCGTACGAAGGTCTATTACGTTTGCCTTTGAGTTCATTCGCTTCCATCTTAGAAGACTTTGTTTCGCCTGTTCTTTTAAAGGTGTCGTAAAATGTTTGGTAAGAATATCGTCTATGTCTCCTTGAATTGTTTCCTCTCCGCGTGGAGGGTAAAAAGGGAGGAATCGATAGAGCTTCTGCCAGTCCCCCTCGATGGTTTTTGTGACTTTCGTAATTGCAACATCCAGTGGATCTAAAATTGAGATTTAATGCAGATGTAATATAACGAACATCAAATTTCTTGATTTGAAGTGAGATGAAGCATCTGATTAATTGAAATATTGTCTCGCTAATTCCTCGTCCTTCTTTCAATTTTCGAGAATTATTTTGGTAATGGAATACAACATATTTATAAAGCTCTTTATAAAATGGGTCTTGGTTTTTAAACTCGAATAAGTAGATTCAGATCTAGAGATTATAACTAGTCTAGCTTCAAGCTTTTTGTGTGTGTGTTGTGTTGGTGAAGTAGATATAAGGAGGGATCCACAGTCTTGAAGCTAGACTAAATTATAATTAATGATGTAGCCTACCTTTTCTCTCTGGTGGAAGACTAGCTGCCACTGGGCCTTTCAGTTTCTTGAGTTCCATTGGTCGCTTAGCAATTACAGGCATGTTATGAAAGAGTTTCTTCACTGCAGTTCCACTGTTCTTACACGCTAGGATATGTTGCAGCATATTCAATGTTTCTTTGATAACGACAATATCTATTTGAATTTTGATATTGTCTTGTTTGCACCTTTTTAATTCCTCTGTGAGTTCCTTGATCAATTGTTTATTGGTTTGCAAACGTGTTTTCTTTTCATAAAGCCATTCTTGTTTTTTCTTTAGATCATTATACCGTTTTTCAACATCCCAATACACCTCTCGGAAACCAACCACTTCAGATGCAAGTTTCGCAAGTTCAGCTTCAAAAACATGCGGTTCAAAAACTTCCTTAGCTTTTTTATGACCGTCTCTCTCTTCCTCTTTTGTTGTCAGATCATATTTCGCAAGTCTAACTTCCTTTTCTAAAACGATCTCTTCATCGATGAACTGAAGTTCTCGTTTACGAAGTTGCTTAATTTCAACTTCAAGGCTATCACACTCCCGGTAAAGAGCTTTGAGTCTTTGTTCAACTTGCCCAGTCTTTATCTGCTTATCACGCAATTGTTTCAGCAATGGCGCCTTCTTGCTCTCTGCATTTACAATGTCACTCTCTATGAAACTAGCATAAGTGGCGTCCTCTATAATCCACTTTTTGATTCCAGCAATTGTATTTCTTATTCTTTCACAGCATTCAGGAAACAATAACAAAAACGGAAGTGTTAAACAGTTACATTTTCTAGCAAGATCTGTCGCATTTAAGGTAAAATTCATAATATGTATGCCTCCTTCAACAAAAAATCTGTCAGACTTTACCAAAACATCGTCCAAATTTATTTTACATGCTTTATAGAAGTCCCGACGTTTTGACTCGTAGTGGAAAGCTGTCTCTAACTGACGTGAAACCTTCCTTCTCTCCATAGTTCCCGTATAAAAACTATCGCAATACTTGTTCATGAGCTCAAGAATTTTATTCATATTGTCTAAAATGTAACTGAATTTCTTGGGGACGTATTCCCTGATTTTGTTGTAGCATTCTCTGAACTGAGAAAAACTTGTTTTGTCAACCGGACTATCAATATTCCACTGTGGATCGAGTGCTCGATGAATGACCTTCTCCACCGCGGATATCTGAGGAATGGACGGTACTCTCGTCTGAGCTAGAACGGCCTGTATATGTGGCACAAATCTCGATATTTCCTCTTCTATGTTCATGGTGTTTCCATAGTAAGCTCTTTCCAGCTCTTGGACCTGTTGTTCAACGACTGTCATTGCCTCTTCGACAATATTCCTGAAATGATCCAACGATTTTGGTCTTTCTGTTTCTAAATTTTTAATCTTTTGGGTTTTTCGCATGAACGGCAGTGCAGCGGTTGTAGGGCCTGGCATTGTTGTCAGTCCACCGATGGTTGTCATAGTAATCGGATGACAGGTTTTATAGTATGAAGCTGATATTCTCAGGACGTTGGATGTAATTTACATTATTTTCCTTTATCCTGCCGGTATCACCTGGAATGAAGTAATATTTCTATCAGCATTTAAATATGAATTGTTTCAAATAGTCATATTACAATATTCGAGCTGAAATGTTATTTTTATTGACTTTAGTTCAAGTTAACTTTGAAAAAAGGGCGATCAACAAATAACACAAATGGAGCCGTGTCTCAGAAACTAATTTGAGTTAGAACACCATATGATACATGGTATCACCAAACTTTCATCAAAATTCCCAGAAAATTTCAGGCACAACCGAGCGGAAATGTTCTTTTTATTGACTCTAGTTTGGTTAACTTTGTGCCAACTGACCGCTAACGTGATAATAGAAATAAAAATTGAAAATAAATTGTAAAAAACTTACTCTCCATAACTGTCATCCCCTCTTCACTTTCTCTGCCTGTGTATATGGTAGGTAAACTATACTTAGCAACGTTATTATGGTACAAATCTAGATCTACCCTTGTATGCGATTAATGCCTTCACAAAACATTAAATTCATTGCTAAACGATTTAGCATTTAATCCATGTGTTTTCTAAAGAGGGTTTATGGAGGTCCATTGCGGATCAATTTGACAACTTTGTATGGAGAATGTATTGAAATGAACTCAATGCAAAGTGGTCAAAGATTAAACTCATGGATAATCCTTGTCCAATACCACACGGGTTACGTAAATCGTACAGAGGTCGATGTATATCCATTTGAGACTCCGTTAACTTTGTTAAATTCAAAAATGTCTTAATATGCTGGTTGCCAAGGTAACTATTTGTGTGCCAATGATCAAGGTTCCATTTAGCTGACAATGTGCTTACATATTTAAATGTATATATTAAATGTTCTTATTTTTATTTAATTATCACTGTTATGCCATTGTACAGCGATGACGCCATTTTTATACAAGTGTGTAATTTATTAACGATAATTCAGACACGCTCATTCCTTCACCATGGTGATTACGATTTTGCTGACGTCATCGTACAAATGAACATCCCTTACTTCATTAAATGAAAGCTTGAATTTACAATTTGAATTTTAACATAATTGTTTCGAAATTGTCTGCAATAATTATCGTGGTTCAACACACTTCCGAAATGTAATGCCATATTCCACTGAGATGCTATATTCGCAAGGCCTATCATTGTTGTCTTTTCTATTTACTGTGATTTGCTTCAAAGAAAAATCACTTTACACATGCTAAATCACCTATTGTCTGCTTCTAGAATGTTCTTGCATAAAGTCATTTGTATGAACAACAACCTTCAATTACTGTACACAAATAGACCAATTTCAATGTCTTGCGACGTAATTTGCCCATTTACCAATATCTAATTTGTACCTTATATTCACAATGCAAATTTTACAGAAGAACGCCTGGGATTTATTTCAATAGCATGTTCAGATTTTATTCCACAGTAAGTTTATTTTAATTGATGGAAATGTAATAACAAATATAAGATACCTATATATATAAACTATGAAGAAAACATGAAAAAAACAATAAATGATTTTACACGATAAAGTGTACCAAAATTTACAACAGATGAATAAATGTAATATCAAATCCCTCAACAATCATATATGTCGCAGTAATACATAATCTGATTCAGCAATATATTTATACCGTTTTGATTGTTTAGCCCATAACATACTCATGCGTATCCAAAAGGGTGCAAACTCTAGGTTAATATTAGTGCCCATTGAACTAACTGTCTCTTTCAAGCCCATTCTCTCCAACTCAAACATCGACAGTATAGTCCCTTTGTATCCAACTCAAACATCGACAGTTAGTCCCTTTGTATCCAACTCAAACATCGACAGTTAGTCCCTTTGTATCAAACTCAAACATCGACAGTAAGTCCCTTTGTATCCAACTCAAACATCGACAGTTAGTCCCTTTGTATCCAACTCAAACATCAACAGTTCGTCCCTTTGTATACAACTCAAACATCGACAGTTAGCCCCTTTGTATCCAATCCAAACATCGACAGTTAGTCCATTTGTATCCAACTCAAACATCGACAGTTAGTCCCTTTGTATCCAACTCAAACATCAACAGTAAGCCCCTTTGTATCCAACTCAAACATCGACAGTTAGTCCCGTTGTATCCAACTCAAACATCAACAGTTCGTCCCTTTGTATACAACTCAAACATCGACAGTTAGCCCCTTTGTATCCAACCCAAACATCGACAGTTAGCCCTCTTGTCTCCAACTCAAACATCGACAGTTAGTCTCTTTGTATCCATCTCAAACATCAACAGTTCGTCCCTTTGTATACAACTCAAACATCGACAGTTAGCCCCTTTGTATCCAACCCAAACATCGACAGTTAGCCCTCTTGTATCCAACTCAAACATCGACAGTTAGTCCCGTTGTATCCAACTCAAACATCGACAGTTAGTCCCTTTGTATCCAACTCAAACATCAACAGTTCGTCCCTTTGTATACAACTCAAACATCGACAGTTAGTCCCTTTGTATCCAACTCAAACATCGACAGTTAGTCCCTGTGTATAGCTTCTTCAATGTGTATACACTGATACCCAATCTGAGCAAAAGTGAAAAAAATATCTGATACAAAAAAAGAGTCAGTCACTCAGTAACTACACCCTCTTCCGTTTTATATTTTCTATATATAGCAATGCCGCCACCACGTTATCCCATGGTCAGAGACATGTCCACGACACAATTAATGTTCACAACTGAACATACATATAAATGTCACTAACTAATCGTTCAAGGTGACATTGACATAAAAGAACACATGGAAGTTAATCATACATGTGAGTATATGAACAACGTTGACTCAAAAATAACATGTGCTCGTGTCATATCATGCCTCCATAAGTCCGGTCCCTGCAGTGTCACCAAACTGTTTATGTGTCGTTATGGGGTTGATTACTGCCCCCAATGGTTGCACCGCGAAGGTTAGCTTGTGTTTGTTTACCCGTTCTTTCCGTATTACAACCTGTAAGCCAATGCGCAAAACAGAAAATTGGTAAAACTGACAGTCTGTTTTCTATGGTTATTTTCAAATTGTTTAATTAACTACACATTGTTATAAAGCTCACCTTTGCTATGATATTTAAAAGGACTGTCGCTAAACTACCAGCAAGTATGAAACCACCAGACACACCATATGTGACAGTAGGATTTATTGTTACCAGGACCGACAGTGGCGCCCCTACTACACTCAAGAACAGACACACGAAAACCGATATAGCGAGGTAATTCACATCGCTGAAGTAGTTCTTTGAGGATATTCTGAAACAAAATAAAATTTCTCATGTTTTTTTACAAAAAAATATCTTTTTACTTTTAAAGTTATTTCTTAATCCACTCGCCCATTTTCTGTCGATTTTAGAAAAAGATCTAATTTTATTTTATTCGACAACGATCAATAGACTAGATGCGAGTAGAAATGATCTTGATTTACGTCATTATATATTCAAAATTCAGTCAAAGTGATGTCATATTTGAAATCTACATGTAAAAATACATCAAAAAATATGGTTTCGAAAATTGTTCATCAACTTTGAAAATTTAATCTTTATTGAAAATGTGACTTCTAGTTCGGGTTGATTCCCCATAGACACCATATTACAAAATCACAAAAAGTGAAATATCTTTTCTTGTATTGGACATACTTTAATTTGCATAACTATTCGATACATAAGGGCTATATGAAAATTGAACCACTAAAACAGATGTAATATAAGTTAAAATAAAATTAACTTTCTACTATAGGCGCCATGCTATCTGATCCGAGCAAGCCACCTGCGTTATTACCTTTTAACTTACATGTAAATGGCACCAGTAAACATGCGTGTTTATTGTTTACTATCCAGCGCATTTTGCACAAAAGGGTAATGCATATCCCAGGATATGTACACAGGCGTAAAAGCATTACACTTACATTGCCGGCCATGAAAAGAATGATGCAAAGAAGAGCAAGATTCCAAGGTAGAAGAACATGCCCATCAGGATGTAGTATTGTTTGGAAGAGGAACAGCGAAAACAGACGTCTTGTTGGATCGTTTCCGTCACAATGTCGTACTGAAAATAAAAATGAAACAATTTGTCCGATTAACAGTTGACCCTTGTGCAGACACACATTCGATTCATGGAAAACTAGAAAAAACGCGACAAAATATCCAGGGACACCCTGTAACGATTAGATAGTAGTGAAACCTAAGATAACCTGAATATCGTTACTTATTTCAATCTTCAAGAAACTTTACACAAATAGGTAGCCTATATTAAAAAGCTTTACACAAATAGCTAGCCTAGATTATTATAGATTAAAAAACAGATGGCATTTATTATATGCACTTGATAACTCCTGCATTTGTGTAAAGATTATGTAAATTAATCAGACTCTGTTCGTTGCGCTTGTAAGTTTACATAAACCTATTAAGGCAGTTATGCTTCCTTACCTTTTCATATTTTGTTTCTTGCCGTAATGTGAGTGGATCCATGTGAATCCAGGTGCCGACGATGATAAAAGAAAGTAAAAGACAACCAATCATTATCATTAGCGGCACTGCCTCTGCCTGTCTCTAAAACAATGAGGAAGAACAAACGGTAACATTTAAAAATAAAATAAATGAGAATAGATAAAATAAGCAATTTGGACAAAATAGAGGGTTTTCTTGGTTTTTACTGTTTATTAGGTAGATGCATAAATCCGGGATCCTAAGAATAGAGTCCGGAGGGGGAGTCACAGTGGCTTGTAGCTATACTATGTTTATTGTCCAAGATCTCGATATTAATTGTGACCGGTTTCAACTTATCACACACACAGATACAAACACAAAATGAATTTACACGGGGAATTATGGCTATTAATTGATTGTATCCTACCTCAGAGACACTTTTTGTGTGAATAGTATAAGTTAAGCCCATACGCACGACCATTGCAGACAGTAACAAAGTTGCGCCAATTGAATATAACCAGATCACCACCTAGAATATAGTCCCAACAGCTCCGTGAGAATTGTAACTCTTACTTCATCTTTATATTGTTACATTACATAAATCAATCTAAACCACGGAGAATAACATCACATGAACAGATAAATATAACGGTAACCATTTGTTAGTTGTATTAGAGTATGTGTAAAACATTTCCCGATAATTCACTTCACATTTTCGTTCAGTGTATGCTGCGTTGTAAATCAATATTTGTTGTATCAAATAAATGGAAACCGCTAATAATTTTAATGTTTGTCGATTACCTTACAGTTATAAAGACCATTTGCGTCTGAAATGCTATTAATACTGAAACCATCTCTGATGACACCTACACACAAGAAGAAGGCACCTAGACACATACACACGTTCAACACATGCATGGAGTATGAAGGACTGTGAAAAAAAGAAATACAAATAAATTGCATGCATTTTTCTAGTTTCCTCAATGTACATGTAAATCATATATGTATTCGGATACGGTCAATGGATATCAATTTTAACCATCTCAAGAACCTAATAGTAAGTCGATTAAAAAATTCATCGAGCTTTTCTCAACTCAGTCCCATTTTATGGACCACAAATACTCGTATGTGTATCGTCGATGGGTTTCTCCATTCACATCGAAACAATCAAACAGCCTATCATCATTCAAAGTGAGTTAGAGTTTTCGCGTTCTCTAATATTCGCCTTTTGGTTCTGCAACATATTATAATGATGCGAACACTACGATAAATCTTAAAAACAACATTAAATTACGTTTCAAATGCTTTTCTATGTGTCCACTCCATGACTATTGAGACTGTGGCTAGGACTGTAGTCAAGGCGGCTATTATCGACAGCACGATATGTAGAGGCTTTGATATCAACATGACATTTCGTGACACCTGATCGCCATCTTTCGGAGCCCTACCGGCTAAAACAGAAATGAATTACATATCAAGTTTTAGTGGAGGTATCGTCATCATCTTTGCGATCCCTTGCGACAAAAATGTGAAATGGGTGTAAAATATTGGAAGTTATAAACTCAGAAAGCAAGAAAATGCTGCCCTTACGATTCTTATCTTATTTTTGAATAAAGCTTATACAGGGTGTCAAATAAGTCCCGTCCCCCCTGCTACAGCTAAAGCCTTAACAGACGGTACCTAGTGTGATATACCATTGGAAAGATCATCCAAAGTTATGTTAACTCACCAACTCTCAAGTATTTTGGATGAAATTTACCTATATTTTTATGATGTCTTTTATAGTTTACGTGCCCTCCTTTAAGTAGCTTTTTTGCGTCAAAATGACAAGGATATGACCTCAGAAATACGTCAAAAAGTTGATCTTTTTCGCATTCCACTTGTTACAAAATGGTTTTCAGCACTTTCCTTGCCCCTCTATTTTCTACACATCTAACCCTATCCAGAAATTGGTTAAATTCATTGCCATAAACATATTTAGTCATCTTTTGGTCCCTTGATCTTTCTTATACCCGATTCTCAAAATCCTGCCAAATATGCCAAATTGACATGTTTCTAGGCATATGGTCACCTCAATTGATACAATGTAAAAAGTTTTGAGATTGATTGACATGTGTCAGATATATGCCAATCAACGTAACTTTGGAAGACCTTTCCAATGATATATCACACTTGGTACCAAATATCTTGGTTTTGGCTGTAGAGGGGGGACAGGACTTATTTGACACCCTGTATGTCTCTGGTTCTTATAAAGATTTAAGGTCACGCGTGGAGGTGCAGAAATGTGACAAGTTTTTCATAGGTAATCTTAAGTGTAGGATTATGTTGGAATAAAGTCATAACTGTTGAACTTTTTATTCAATAGACATGACATGGAGTGTAGTAAAAAATATTGTAAACTTGTTACAATATTTGACACTAACTTTCTCTCTTCATTTCTGTCCATTCTTTTTAACAGAAAAATAATATGAAAGACACAAAACAATAATATGTACACAATAATATTAGACAATATCACCTTCTTCATTGTGAACTGAATGAAATACAGGGTGGGTATAGTCTAATCATCTTTATTATGAACTGAAGATTGATGAGATATATGTGCCCGTCAATATGTGCCCGTATATGAAAAAATAATATGTTTTGTTATTGTGATATGAAATATTTATTGATTTAGTCTAGATCATGTGGAATTATTGCAATGAATGAATCATAATTTTTATAAAATTTGTACGTACAGTATTACATATTTGTTTTCATTTTATCTGGTTAGAAATTCTACATAATTACAATGTATGCATGTAGGAATACGACTCAAGTCTATAGCTCAAAACTAAAAAAAATGATTGACAACAAATGAACATATTATGCATGGGTCTACGCTTCTTTGACAAAGTTCGGTAAAGCACCAAATAACCTTTACTGCTACCTTCATTTGATACAGTTTTGAAAAATACTTTGTTCACCTACATAGCCTTTGTGGTCGTACATTGTACTTAGCTGGCAGAACATAAAAGGGAGGTAAAAGTCACACTTTTAAAAAAATAAACTTGCACATGAATGTGTAGAATTATGGTCCTCTATGGATTAGTTTTCCCATTTTTAGTGTTTACTTTTCCGATTGAGTATAAAGGTAAATGGAAAATAACTGTGATTAGGTCACTGGGAAAGTTAATAGAGAGCGGGACAGTAATACCTGGGGTGGAAATACAACACGCTCACGTACAGGTTCTCTTAAAAACGTGCAAACTTAACCTCCCCATTGACTTACATTTTGATTTCCACAAACTCTGCGTGTTGTCGTACCATTTGATTTTATTTTCATCTAGTTTCATCGAACCTTTTCCTACTCTTTTCCCATCTGAAATTTAACAATTTGAAATGTTATATTTTACAAAATGAAAAAAACTTTATACAACACAACAAAGACAATAGCACAATGCCTACAATAAAACAGAACACAATGCAGCAATTTTTGAATGATTAGTGCGATGAAAGATTAGTGAATACATACAACATGATAACGTGACATGCCTGTGATGCTGTACAATTACAATTGCAATGCAATACAATAATACCAATCCAATAAGTAATAGGGGTTTGCATCCCATATTACCACCAAACAATTTTCTTACATGAATGAAGAGGATAGACTCCCGGGGATAGACTGAGGTATTTGTAATTACAACCTTTTGATTTAGTGTGTTCTACTCTGTAACAACAAGGCTGGGCAAAAATTTGGACAAAAACTAATGTTATTTTAACATTTGTAAGTTGGGATTTGCAAAACTAGATATGACTGTATGCTAGATATTACTGTATACTAGATATATACCCTATAGTTGGTAATATAAAAAGTAGATAGATAGAAATAAATAATACAATCTCTCTAACCTACGACTTGATACAACTCCATAACTGACATCTTATCGCCATTTTCATCAAATTCAATAGGTCCCTAAAAAAGAAATCGGTGCATGATTTATGAGCGACAGATCTGATTAGCTATAATCAATTTTATAGGGTACTTTGTTATGCCTTCCTTTTCTGTACTTCCTGGGTTTTTATTTATTTATTTCATCCACCATATTTGATGTGTTTAAATAAAAAATTTACATTATTTACTTATAATTATAACATTATGTAACAAGATGTAAATCTGTTAGATTTAAGAAAAAATATGTCGCTCACCGACATTCCCTCAAAGGCACGGTCTTCCATTTTGTTTTTAATTTTTGTTGCCATTTCAATGTCATGATATTTAAACGCCCCCAGGCTCCCCTTAGAATCCTTTTCTACTGCGTCTAGAGCGAGAGCTATTGCCACAACCGAATCATACACTTGGCCAAGATACATATTGGCCGTCCACAGGGTGTCATAGTCGGGTACTTTCTCTTTCAATTTTGCGAAGAACTCATTTCGTGTGGAACCCAGTGCCGTCTTCTGATCCATGTCCAGATGTGATGTCTGATGATACAACAGAAATGATCCCTCTGCAGATGTTTTTACCTCTTTACTAGTACACCCTTTGACTTTTCCTAGACTATTGTCTAAGTTAGAAAACTCGGGACCTACTGAAATCCATAGGTAGTTTGGCCCATACATATCTAATTTGTATGCCTCACAGTATGCCTGGACCTGCGAGGAGGTGAATAAATCGGCTAATATGATTCGACTGTCACTTTCGTTGATATCTTTCACAACATTGCTTAGGTGAGATATGTTGTAAAAATCTTTGGCGGCAATTACCTCGATGTTATTGTTATCAAGAGTCAACTGCATTCGACTTCCTACCTATGATTGACACAAGAAAAACAAAATAGCATTACTGTAAAAAATACATTTTCTATTTCATATTTTGTTAAATAACAATATAATGTATAGATCCCTTCATCCAATCACCCAAAGGCATTATCGAAGGGCACATGAAATACAATACGAGTACAATTTCACTATTGTGAGGTTAATTCTGCACTTGGGATTGGCCACGTACTGAAAATATTAAATTTGGATATTTTTCTAAAGTAAGTAGGGAGCGAAAAGTTTATAGGTTAGTTTAAATGAATCCTGTAATTAAGGTTTTGAGAGTTAATATCAGAGCCATGTTTCATCAAGTCAATGAGATAATTGTGAGTTGCATGCTTTTCCGATATTCCAGCTATATAAAAACATTCCGTCTCATTTAAGGTAGTTGTCTACTGGCTTTGTATGACTCTATTATATGCTTTAACATATCAGCGAGTGTTCAGCGTTGGGTCCTACATTGAAACGTGGTATCACACTTTTGAAAATGAGTTATTTACTTTATATTGATACATACTTTTGATGGATTCAATCAATTATACCCAGTAATGGCATATTTTATGTATTTTTTGTTGCACTTTGGTATACAATCAGCAACATATTAGACTTAAAAACATACAAAAATTAAAAAAAAGAGGAGTAATGATGAAAAATGTCGGTGACCTATCATTCTTATTTTCTTAAAATTAACATTAACTATTAAACTTTTCAGTGTGCAAATATTAAGAAATTCTGTCGTTCAGTTTCTGAGACAATACTGTCTATTTATCCCAGACTCTTCTATTACCTATATGGGGGAAGATATTTTCAAGCTTTGAGTGAAAAACGAAGTCGGTGGCACCAATTATTTCCCGGTCATTTCAATTTAAATATCGTAACGTGATTTTAGGCCTCTGGGTATACAACTGCCTAAACTTTATATTTTAGCTGAACAAATAATCGGAATAATAATCGGCCAAGGTTTTTATGAAAAACGGAGATTGAAATACTTGACAAGTAAACGATTTAATAGTTCTACGAGTAAATTATTCATTTTGCTAGGTTTATTAAGCCGTATTGAATATGTCTAGATGGTTTGAATAATAGTTTTATTAATATGTACGAGCACGGACTTTAAGAAATGGATTGGAAACTCCCATTGATCCAATGGTCTCGGCCTCATTTTGCCGCTAGAGGCGCTGCCGTTTTCACGCATGCGTAAATCATTGTTTACATATGACGTCATTGCTAAACCAAACAAATGACGTCATGAAAATCACTGCTCAACAAATCTTGGCGATGACGAGAATTCTCATCTCAAGAGTAGATTTTCCAACCCTGTTAAAACTAGACAGTATTTGCACTTGATACTTGGCAGAGACATAAAAATCAATTAGTTTTTACGATTTAGACTGGTTTTGATTGTGCAAATTCTTTATAGGTAGGGAAATTGCAACAGAAATTGCGAAAATTTCGGAGACCCCTTGAAAAAATCGAATAAAAATCACCGTATAACTTCGATGTTTTTCATGAGCTTTTCAATGTCTTTCTACAAAATAACTACCTGGTCAACGATGTAAAATTGAAGTCTTTATCGTGAAGGTATTGCATAAACCTCAAAACTGCACAACAAGTGAGGTTATTCACAATAACAACCAGTCTTACTCCTGTCTGCGCAGGAACAATGTCAATTAGTGAGTACGACATCTATCCGCAGAAATGTTGATTGACCTAATGGTCAAGGATACCGGTCACTGAGTACAGTGACCCAAAAGGCAAATAACAACGTACCGATTACTAAATACGGTTACCATACAGATTACTGAACAAGATAAGTTCTTTTGATGATCCAAATCAAATATAAAAATTCGACTTTTAACTTTTTAACCATTTATAAACCAAGTAAATTAAAAAAATATATATGCTAAACATAACAAACAAGAAATGTTATAATTTAGAATTATTCACATTTATTTTCACATTCAAATACATTTATATTTTATATTGTACAGACAATTGAGAATGGATAATTGCAAAAACTGAACATATGCCTTCAACACCACTTGAATAGATTTCCCAAAATTTTTGTAATGAGGATATCCCAAAAATCTAGTTTTCATGAATATTATTGTTTTTGCTTCTTAACATAAAAATGATAGAACAAGACACACAGCAATAAATTGCTCTCAGGGAACATAGAACCAAGTAATTTACATACCAAGTCATATCCTTCAGAATTATATTAAAGCTTCGTGTACATTAAAACTGAATCCCACGAATTAAGACAACAAGGCATTGGTTTCCCAGGCTTCAAACTCTGAAATATTTTTTTCCCCAAAAAGTCCAAACAATTTGTCCAGTGATGGTTTCTATGCCAAAAAATGCAAGACTGAACTGCAAGGAGAATGGCTAATATGGCAGCTACTGTAGATTGGGTTAATTTGAAATTGAAAAATTCGCCAATATAAATCTTCGCCAAAATTTAGAATGAATCCCCGGGAATTATATAGGGTATTTCGTCCAGTGTATTTAGGTCACTTCGGGTTCAAATATGAAAAAATGTCTCTCAGAACTGGCTCAGAACTCGTCAGTCACTCATTAATACTCAGACAAAAACTAGAAAGGAAAAGCGCGGTATAGTAGCAGCATCGATCTAGGCGCAAAATGTAAAGGATGATCTCACAAAAATGTACAAACGTGGTGAATATCGCCAGTGGTCCTCAAAAGAAAAAATGAACATAACCAAATATGCCCATTTACTTGGTAATTCGCAAACAGCGCACGTTTAACATTTTTTTGCATATCCACCAAATTAAATAGCCGCCAATATGCCAAAAGTGGCAAAATCGCCAAATTAAGTAGCGCTAAATTAACCCAATATACAGTATTTAATTTTGAATTCATGACGACGCTCCGTATATCATAATCATATATGGCAAAATACTGAGCAGGGAACCCTGGGAGCCAATCCTCCTAGATCTTAATGAAAAAATTCAAAATGGAGGCTATGTATTATTTACCTTTTTTGTCTAAAACCTAATCAGTGTTGGCTCTAGTTTGCATAATCCAAGTATTTTTCAAATGCAATTTAATTAAACACATAATTTGCCATGGTGGTAAATCACGAAAAAATGGTCATCTTTGTCAATTCCCCAGGGAAATATAAAGTTTGGTAGACATAAATACTGTACATTCTTGAAGCATTCTTAGTGCTATAGGTAATATTTTTAAAACTTCGGGGGTCTATAAATTTTAATTTGTGAAATTGGCGAAATTAAATAATGTCAAAATATACAGCGAGTACAGTGTATGCCAATGAGCACAAAATGAGGACAATGTAACACTTTGAAAATGTCCTTTCAGAAACAGTTTTGGTTTCATATCATTAAAATAAAGTATTATCATAATGTCAGAGTTGTGTTATCAATCATCTAGTGTGTCAACAGTTTCACTGCATGATTTCACTGTTTCGCTTTTTTAATTGCTACTCTCAGTACTTTTTACTAGAGCATAATCAAAGATTTTTGAAATGTGAGGTGTGAATTCCACACTCGCTTAGAATGCATATACATATTTTTATATCTTGGTCTGGTCTCATAATCTCCATGTGTATCAGGAATAGAGTTTTGCATGCCAAATTGTTTTAGCCATGCTTATAGTACATTCTTCTTGTGAGCAAAGCTGATTGTGAATGATGCGAAATTACAATGCCAGTTTGTTGAGTGTTTTTTAAGCTGTAAATGTATTGGATTTGAGCTGGATATTGCTATTGTATCAATCAGTAACCTTGGAAGCCAGTCATTTCTTGCACTTATGGCAGGGAACATCATCCATTAGACACTACCAATCTGAAAAATAGAAATATAGGCTACATGAATATCAAAGTTATTCATATATTACAAGAAACTTTCGAGAGAAAAAATTGATTTATAAACACCACTAGCAATCTATCCATTTAAGTGGGTCACCAAGGGTCTCACATGGCAGGAGCCCCAATAAAATGCTAAATACCTGTATACTGATCTTTTGACCTTGACTGACTCTTGACATGTTAAATACCTAGATATACACCTTTGACCTTCAGAAGACCTTGGCCAATTAACACTAACTTTTACCTCAGGTACTTGATCAGGAGATGCCAAGGGTCAGTAAAACACCAAATACTTATATATTAACCTTTGGCCTTAAGATGAGCTTGAAATGAACCTTTGACATTGGAATGAACTTGACCTAAGGTCACATAATCATGGGTCGCCAAGTGTCACAGCGACACCAATTTCCTTAAAACACCAAATAAAAAGATATTGACCTCTGATTGACCCCAACCCATAAAGTTGACCAATGAAACACTGTAAACTGGGGTGATGCATACCTTGTCAAGGATGTTGACTTGGATTTTTCCTACTTCCTCCCCATTAGTTCAGATGATTTTATCCTCTTGTACACCATTATTTAGATGTTGCCTGAAATTAAAAATTGCTATGTATACCTGCACATGTTATTTTCTGGTACAAAATAAAGTATGAAGGTATGTGTGTATTTCCTTGTTTTTTCCTTGCCAGTGATCTCCCAAGAATTTAAACAAGTGGGTGCAGCACCAACCTGAGATTTCAAATACAGGCTTGCAACCACCTGAAAATCCAGTTGCACCCACTTGAAAATGAGAAAAATCATGAAAAATTGGAATATTTTGACCAATTTTGGTCTTAATTATGAAAATGAGAATTTTGCACCTGCCTGATAAAAAAATACTGGAGAGATCATTGCTTGCATTGTCTTACTTTTAGTAAACCTGGTAACTGTTGACTTTCAGTTTGACATTGGCATTTTAGGTAAATAGTGTCCAAATTATTTTGTCATTCTAAGGGGTCCTTTTCCTTAAAAACATATGTCTAGTTAAGAACCAAATAAAAAATACTTAAAAAGCTCTAAAACTTGTATAAACCTGTACTTATATTATATTTATTTGGTAAATAGTGCCTAAAAGGACTTTTCTCAATGCTCATGCATTTACCAATGGAAAATATTAATGAACATTCACCATTTATTGGATACCTACATTTTAGATTCAGCATCTGGAGCACAATATCTGTGGTCATCTGCTATCCCATGGGAATAGCTGAAAGAACAAGGAGATAACTTTATATATGAAAACTTAAAAGCATAACATTTTCCAATGACATTTTGGCTATTAAATGAGCCTTTTGAAACAAGTCAGCCATTTTATGTGTGTTATATTACATTTTGGCTAGAATATATGAGAGAGTTTATATGTGAATACTAAGAACAATTCACTATAAATTCAAATTTTGGGGGATTTACTAATGCCAGAATGCTATGCCTTTGCACTGCTGTTTCAAACTAATTATTGGCAATAATAGTGTAATCTACTTTGTTAGTCTTACAACTTACTTGATCAGCTTATGGTTAGGGGCACCACACCTCCTCCAATATCTTTCTCTCTGTAACAAAGGGAAGTTTTCAAATTAGCTTGATCATTACTGCTTATAGAAAAATATGCATCTCTCTCAATTTTAAAGTCTAGTTTGATTTATTTGTTTTTGATTTAATGATAAGATATAATTTTAAGTCATGCTGCAAATTCTAGGTACTTGATTCATGTTATCAAAGCTGAAGCAGATGGCAGCACAACTGCCTAGCCAAAGCCAACGTGTTCAAATAGCTAGTGTTTAAGTCAAGTGACTTGAATTAAGACTAGATAGGGTTATGATATGTGGTACAGATCTGATGAAACCTCATTTTTCAATTAATTCAATTGCAGTACATGTATCAATCTTATTCTTACCTATATATAGGCAGTGTAGGCAAACAATCCCTGCTTTCATTCTTTTGTGTAGACTTTTCTTGTTGGGCATCTTGGAAGATGAAGGAAGGCTAAAAATTAAAATATCTTTCATCTAAAATTGTACTTCAATAACCTTAATCTACAAAAAATATTGTGTTGTCAGTAGATAGTTACAGTCTGTTTAACTGCTTCAAAGGCCAGCTGATGAACTTATTGAAATAAGCCTGTGCCCCTTGTAATTTGAGGTCTATCCGCAACATTATTTTTTGCAGAATTAACATAACATAGCAGAAAAGCATCAAAATATAAGAGGTTACAGACATTGAGTTTGACATGTCATTACACATAAAGATATCAGAATTTTTCTAGGAAATACCCGCTAAAGAAACCTCTAGGGGGTATTTCCTAAGAAAAACTCTGATGTTTGTGAGTATGCATGGTTAAGTCCATTTCACTGTTTTAGTTCATCAGTAAAACCTAAAAAATAAGAAATCAAAATATCAATATGCAATAATATATGGAAAAATATATATCTATTGTACATGAATGACATTTGTATATCTTTGATTGCTTCTAGTTTGGCTTATAAAGTGTGTGGCCTCTTATGTTTTGATGCTTCTCTGCCATGTTATTTTCATTTCAATAAGATAACATGGCTGACATTACAAAGGGCTCAGGCTTATTGCACAAAAAAACTAAAAAATCTGAAATATACAAATGTCATTCATGTACAATGTGAATAGAATACTTTTCTATATATTGTTGCACAGTGGTCTCCCTATTTCTTATTTCTGGGGTTCTACTGACGCAATAAAACAGTGAAATGGACTTTACACAAAGTCAAAATAATGAAATTCTAAAATTGTGGTGAAATGAAGAAGCTTCAAAGTGATATATCATATCATGACACAAAAAGGTAACATTTCACTCAGATTTTTGTCAGATTTGGAGACAAAAAAGACCAGAAAAAATGAAACAACAAAAATGTGGGGTCCTTATAGACTATGAAAATCAAGTCAGAATAATGTGAAACTTTCCAGGTAATTAAAATGATAGTTAATCTAGTTAAGTCGGATGTTTTGAAATCGAACACGATAATAATAAAAGCAGGAGTGAATAATTTATGAACAAATTCATTGAAAATGGAAGAAACACGGAGAATGTTGATTTCAAATTGTGGGGTCGTTAACCGCTATCTAAATCAAGTCGGAATGATCTGAAACTTGTTCCATGGATAGAACAGTTGTTAATCTAGTGAAATGTGATACTTTCGACCATATACGATCAATATAGCACGATATACAGGCGATAAACTTACCAAAATTGACATTCCGCCATTTTTTCTCCCAAAAAATGAAACGTCTGCGCATGCGCCGTAGACTACAGCGCCTCTAGCGGTTGAAATAGGCCGAGACAAGAATTTGATGAGTTTCCAATCCATTTCTTCAGGTCCGTGGTACGAGATAAGAAACACATTTGCACAAGATATGAAAGATTCGATCTATCCTAGATGACAAGCCATTTTTCATGTTCAAATGTTTGAAGCGCAGAAATTTAGCTATTACGTAGTTGAATATCGGTGTATCTTTTTCATCAAAAATATATCTTATAAACTTTATAAGGTATATTTAGTCCAGTACCATGACAAGGAATGCTACGAACTTAGATAAAATCAGGCAGTGACATCGGTTAAAAATATTCAGTGTCTGATTGTCCATTTAAAGTGTTATTTATAAAAGTGACCTAATGTTTTATGACACTGGATCTAGGAACCAAGGGATATGTCTCGCTTTCATCATGTACATACATGTGATTTTTATACTGCAAACTTCCAATCGCTTTATGTTGTAAATCTCATTATGCTGATAGTTTCAATATTGAAATTAACTATTGATTTATTTGTTTCTTGTGGATTAAGGTAGCATTCGCGAATATAGCTAGCGGCTGAAGGCTGACGGATTAAGGACAGGGTGCATGTTGGGAAATTTTCTGCATTCCTCAATTGAGTCACATGTTATTTTACAAACAAGAATAACTCCTTCCCCACATTGTCTACATCTTCCAAGTTTGCACAAAGAGTGCACTTATGTGCCTAGAAAAGCCTTGTGAGAAGGTTTGTTTTGTAAAATGTAGAAAAAATGAGAAAATTCAGTGAAAAAAAATTCTGAAAATTTTCTGATTTTTTTCACTGAATTTTCTTGTTTTTTGTACACTTTATCAAAACATTCTTCTCACAAGTCTTTTCTAGGCACATAAGTGCACTCTTTGTGCAAAACTGGAAGATGTAGACAATGTGGGGAAGGAGTGATTCTCGTTTGAAAAATAACATGTGACTCAATTGAGGAATGCAGAAAATTTCCCATCATGCACCCTGACCTTAACCTACTATTTTATGTCCAACTCATTTAAATATGAATAGTACCTGCCGCTTCTCCATTCATACTTGAAGTAATTTGGAACGGATGAAATATTAGTTCAACCTACATATGAATCAGAAAAACTGAATCCCAAAGCACGCTGGTACATATAAACATCGTTTTTACTGACCTTGGTTGTGTTTTGACTTCACAATTCAGCGTTTTCAACAGAAATAAATTTGCTCACACTTGCACATTGTTGGGGATTCCCTAGCCAAAGGTCATGTGACTAATAATCAGAACGAGGCTATGACCTGTGAGCTATTTCAATTGAGAGGTTAGGAGAATTTTTTCATATTTCATATTTCTGACGGTTTTCAAAACAATCACTGAATCTCTTTCTTGCTAAAGAATAACTATTATATCAGGAACACATAATTAATAAAACATTATGTAATCACTATGTACAGAACACGAAAATTACTCTTTTCAAAAGTAGGTCACATTTTCTCCCAAGTTTTATATGCAATATTGCTCTGAACGAAATGCAAGAAAATGTGTTAACAAACATACTTTGGTGACGTCATCAACTTGAGTGCAAAATTCGAAGTGGACGATGTGAAATCAAATTCAATGTACCCACTTCAATATGAGAAATCTCCGCTATCCTGGAGTAATATGAGCTGAAGTTACCCCAGTAGCAAGGTAATACATTGCTCTTCGTGCGATATTCAATAGATTTTGCTAAAAATGCCTTAAACGAAGGCCATATCACTTTAAATGAGTTGCCCATAAAAAGTAGGTTAAACCGTCAACCGGCAGTTGAATTCGCGTATACTACTTAAGACCTTACGGTAAGTAGTGGTTCCGTGAGTTGTGTCAACGTGGCCACTTTCTTCCAGTTAAACTCGTTCAACAATTTCAACCGGAACGAATTGAAGGCGCCATCGGAACCACTAGTCCGAAAGAAGAAGGGATTCCCTTTTCTGTAAGCCAATTTTGGAGATGTCGCGCCATATCCAACCTATGTAATCATACACAAATTATATGCAAACACACTTTTTAATTTCAAATCTGATGAATCAAGACTGAGGACTGGAGTCTAATGATGTTGCATCGGATTGTCTTTCTAAAGAAGGCATATGAGAGTGAAAATCCATTGTTCTAGCAATTACATAAAAATACTCTAACTAGTATGCAAAATACTTAACATGAGATCCCAGTCTTCGTATCCATTTCTTGATATCAATTATAAATAAATAATATAAACATCAAACTAAAATCAAATATCTACATTAGATAAGGTGTCACCTGAACAATTCCCCAACGTCCTGTTAAAGGTGCAATTGCAATTGTGGGGTTGGAGTAGAAAGGCCCAGCTACTGCAATAATCATGCTGCCATTGTACTGGGCATAGTTCAGATACTCGTAGAGGGCATCTACAGTTTGGGCCTCCTTACCCTTTTGAATCAAAGAGAAAACATATATTAATGTAATTTCATTCCTCTCGGTAGTTTTCTCTGCTTTCTTTCTGAAAAATCCATTATGATAATCCATGACATTTCATTTCTTCTTAGCCTCGTGAATATATAAGGTGTTTTAATAATGACCTATTAAGCATTCCAAAGCAACCCAGGGAGCTCTAAATGATAATGGATTATAAAGTGATCTACCTTTCTCTATAAATCCATTACGAATAATAGTCATTAATGTAGCAAATTAGGCTGAAAGTGACTACCAACAAACACAAGTCACAATTAGAGAAGTTCCCAAATATCAATCGTGCCAATGTTTGGCTCGTCAGTCTATTTAAAGAACGAATGGCTATAGACACCCCTGCGGTCACTTAACAATTTTTGAAAAATACGATGTAGTTAATATCCTTGATATGTAGGATCAAATTGTAGATAAATATGTATATTTTCAAGAAATAGCAATAAAAAGCATTCAAGATCACTGATATAAGTATATTTTGGTTGATTTGGGAGGTATGTATCACTTCCTGTGAAAATGTGAATTTTTTATCAGTCTCAGAAAATGGCTCCAGAATGTATAAACCCAACTTGGCAGATGTCCCATTGTTTGATTGTGTCACTCTATACACTCATTGGATTAATATTTTGTACATATAAATAGTCATATTTCAATAGTCATTGAGTAGGGATTTTTTTTTAAATTTTTATATTTCCTTTATTTCATAATACATCATACAAACAGATACAGGGCCTACGCCGAAGCATTATTGGCCCTGTTGAAGTAGTTACAATATAAGTTAAAATAGGTCACAATGTAAAAATGATAGATATAGAACATATTTATGAACATGAAAATAATCTTGAAAACGTGAAGACAGGTCAGAGATATATGTATCAATTAATGAATATTGGACTATTTAACTTCCTTGACAATAGAGTGTAAAAATTCGGCTGTTAATTCAATAGCCTTTTTATTTGTAATTGTGTCAAGAGAAGGATCTGCAAAAAGTAGAGTAGGGATTAGTTATGTTTGCAATTGTGTTGACCTCTTTTTAGATAGAGGAAGGTCATGATAAACTGTTGCTTTGTTCATATAACGCTTGGTTCTTACCTAGAAAGTTATATGTATTGAGGGAATAGTGTACTTCCAAGGTACTTCTTGAGATATGTAAAAATCTAGGTAAGGACCAAGCGGACAAAATGGAACTTCATTTCAGCATGAAATTAAATGATGTCAGCCATTTTGAAAATCCTTAGAACGATTGTGACAGTTTTTTTTTTATATATTTGAGTATATTTTCTTTATTCATATGATCTTTTCATGAACTAATATGTATACTTGCACTGGAGTATGATGTCTTGAGAAGCATAATAACATGCAATTTCTTTCAATACATTCAAATGAGATGATTGTTGTGCAATCATTTTATCTTGATGTTTTATGTATGAATATTTTTTTTATATTATCACAGTTCACTGGCTGATCATACCAATGTTCATCTTTAGAAATCCAGCTCAACTTTATTGCACTGGCGGATTAGGGGGGGGGGGGCTGGGGGCCCGCCCCCCCCCCCCCTTGGGTGGGCCCAGAAAAAAAATTTTGGCCCACAAATTAGGCCTTCAGGCCCCAAAAAGTGGGCCTTATTGGTCATCACTGGGCCTTTTAAGGCCTTATTTTTTAATTTCAGGCCAAATTTTGAAGAAAATGGGCCTCAAAATTTCAATATTCGGGCCCACTTTTGGGTTTTAGGGGCCCTAAATTTTTTCTCTAACTTGAAATTTGGGCCCCCCCCCCCTTGTTGATTCCCAGATCCGCCCCTGTTATTGTACAGAAGAAATATACTGTAAGTCACAATCAGTAGGCGGAAAACGACATTTGCTAATAAAGTCCCCAAAGCAAAGGGAGCTGCATGAGGAGCTGCATGAGTGAACTGCAATCTCCCAGTACCCCCTGTATGGAGACAAGAGGGTTACATCTAAATCATAGTCGACTCTCTTGAGATCAAGCCAACCAATTTAAACGATGCACTGATGACCATCTTCAAGTAGATGGGAAATATACCATCATTGTTAAAAAAAGATACATATGGCCTCATTTGTGTAAAAGTCCAGTAATCGGTTTGTGTCCTCTAAATCTCATTATACAGGGTGGGCCAAAAAAAACAATACCCAACTTCATATCAGGATAAAAATAGTTACATTCAATATGGTACATTGACTTACATATCATTTTAAAGGTTATACAATTTCAAACAATTTGGTATATAACACTATGTCATGAATTCAATAGTAAAGTTTTATTATACTTATTTGTTAGGCTTGGTTGCTATTTAAGGTCACCAGATTTAAGGGAGAAAATAGTAAATCTGCGGAATTATGCTAATTTTTTATTTATACAATATCATTCTTTTGTTAGGTGAATACATGCTTGGATATTGATATTTGCATCATTGTGTGACTAAATCTATTGTTTATGAACTTCAGTGCTGTTAAATAACATTTTACACTTTATTTATTTAAACAATTTTCACAATTGCTCAATATACCCCATCCCCCTCCCCTCTGCATCAACAATAAGCTTCAAGTGGTAGCGCAATCTATCAATAGCCTTATTGAGAGATTTCTGTTGCAATTCATTTCAGCACTTTAGGATTCTGTTTCAGCTCATCAATGCTGTTTATTGGATGCTTTTGATTGTACAATTTCCTCGAGATGGCCCCATGTATAGTAATCAAACACATTAGCATCGGGGCTGTTGGGTGGCCAAGCATCGAGATCAAGCAAATTGACACCTTGTTTGCAAAGGAATGCCAATGTCTCCTGAGATCTTTGGTACGAGGCAATGTCTTGTTGGAAAAAAATCCTCATCACATATACGTTTAATGTCTTTTAACAGACCCCCTTTGAGTACTTATTGATAATAAACAACACTAAAATTCATAAACAATAAGTTTAGTCACACAATATACAAATATACAAGCATGTATTCACCTAACAAAATGATATTCTATAAATAAAAAATTAACATTATTCCGCAGATTTACTATTTTCTCCCTAAAATCTGGATACCTTAAATACCGACCCGGCCTCCCAAATAAGTATAATAAAACTTTAATATTGATTTCATGACAAAGTGTTATATACCAAATTGTTCGAAAATGGATTACCTTTAAAATGATATATAAATCAATGTATAATATTGAAAATAGCTATTTTCATTCTGATTTAAAGTTGGGTATTGTTTTTTTTGGCCCACCCTGTACATGGGTGTAGTATAACCCAGATCCAGATGTATGTAATAGTATTGATGCAATCACTGGATGGTGTTGTACATGCCTTGTTGGGAGTAGGGTTGTAGGCACAAGGGGTATAAAAGCAAAAAGAAATGCACGAAGTTTGACATTTCAAAATCGAAAGATATGTATGAAATGTTGTCATCTGAAGATGATGATAGCTCAGAGAATCTCTTATAATGAACAAACACATGAATGTGCTCATCAACAGTTATATGTAAAGTCCATGTGTTAACTGCATATGTGCAAATGATCTCAAGGCAGCAGATCAATATATAATTGATTGATATGCATTTTTGACTTGTTAATTACTTCATGTGTTTCTAAATGTTGACCCTTGTTCTTTCTCATTGTGATGTTTTAAAAAACTCAATATTCTTTTCTGACATAGTTTCGCAAACTTTTTTGGTAGACAATTGTTCTAAATGAAGTATAAAGAAGATCATTATTCAATATATTGTTTGTATTTTTGACTTGTTATATGTTTTCGAATGATGCCCAATATGCTTTGTCACTATTATGTAAGATAATAGCAACAGGATCAATTAAAAAGTCTTAAATGACTGAAAATAATGATTACTTTGATAATAAATAGAAACATTGACAATAATGATGTGAAAAAAGTGATTTTTCCTTGAAAAGGTCATTTTATACACGTTAATAGAATGACCTATATTTTGAAATATAAATGTCACAATGACCTAATTTTTGGATTTGGTTATCAAACAAAGTCTCTTCTTTCATATCCTGTACAATTTTTTCTAAATATCTTGGGGGCTAATATAGGGTCTTAAAGCCACTCGTCCTTTATTTTGATGAATATATTATCTATCACGTGATCTAGGATTGGCTTTTGATGTTGACGCTCATTATGGAGTACCCAGTATTTTATATACCTCGGTAGCTTTCTTCTGAAGGACCAAAGTGTGTGAGGGCAATACATCCGGGGCATTATTGACGTCATAGACGGCAATATCAGCAGCAGCAACTAACGCTTCCCTGAATTTACTCGTAAATTTGTCAACATTAGGAAACAGCCCACCGATTGTTAGAACTTCTTTATCGCCCCCTACAAAGGAGAGCGTATTTTAGACACAAATACAATCACAATGTAGTCAGAAAGGGCGCATTGTACATGTATATTGATGCTGTTCCCCGGGTGCTGTTCTGACATGTAATATTCAAAAGTTACATGTGTGACACCTCCTGCATTACAAGAGGCAGTGTGTTTATTGTACAAAAATTAATCAGAATTAACAAACGTTTTGCGTGTAAAATATGAATGTATTTCTGATACTTCACTGAGGTCATTTGATTGCTTATTTTTTAGACTTTATTGACGCACAACCCAATTGAAATTGTCTGAAGAGGGTTACATTAAAATAGTTTTGCACCACAAAAAGAGTTGAAAACATGTGGAATGTTTTTTTCCATTTTTGATTTCAAACTAGTATTAAGCCTATGTATTCTTTAATTATATAATGTGAAAATGCTAAATATCCATACATTATATTAAGCTCAAAGCTGAACACATATATCCGATGAATGTGTGTATGAATATTTAATACCGAGTAGTTAGTGCAGTATATCAACACTTTCATCCAAGCGTATTCCAATTATGAAAACCATAAAAGCATAATCGATATTTAAATCCAGGGTATAATTCATAACGATGAAGCTCTTATTTATGAAACCTTTTCTAAGACCTGCATACAGTCATATACATATCTCCCACATATTGAATGTTATTGAATATTGTATCTTTGATTTTTTTCATCCTTACTATACAATGGTGGATCCCAACTGGCCAATCCAAGCATACTGGTTTTTGCTTTCTTTTACAATAAGACAAACTTCTCTTTTAAAGACTTTATTTAACCTATATTAAAATCCTGGCAGTCCAGACGTTGTGTTACTGGTGTCACATATCATTTACGTGCCTAGGATCACAATAGTGCGGACATCGACATACTGAAATGGGGAGTTCAGCACTCTAAAAATGTGCATCTAAGTATTCTATCTAAAGTGTATATGCCATTTCCTAAATAATATCGCAACGTGGTATTTTTGCTTTTTGCTTTTTTTGATTCAAATGGTACTAATATGCGTATACTTACACATGAATAGGGATGAAAAATGGACAAATGATTATATAAGAAACGCTATTTTGATACATGTACATTTAACAACTGTGTTTCATACAGTCCGAATCACTTTTAATATTTGTGAGTCAATCAAACCTCAAAAGTAAGCAATCAACACTGGCGGATTAGGGGGGGGGGGCCTGGGGGCCCGGGCCCCCCCCCCCCCTTGGGTGGGCCCAGAAAAAAAAATTGGGCCCAAAAAAAATTTTGGGCCAAAAAAGGCCTTAAGGCCCCCAAAAAGTCGGCCTTTTTGGTCATTACTGGGCCTTTTAAGGCCTTATTTTTTAAATTCAGGCTAAACTTTGAAGAAAATGGGCCTCAAAATTTCAAAATTTGGGCCCACTTTTGCGTTTTAGGGGCCCAAAATTTTTTTCCGCGCTAGCGCGGACGTTTTTTCCTCTGACCGGAAATTTGGGCCCCCCCCCCTTGTTGGTTCCCTGATCCGCCCCTGATCAAGGGACCGCAAAATAACATGTCGGAAAGCATCAAAGAGGCACACATTGTCAGCCAAACAACAGGCGATCCAAAATATACAAACGTTTCATAACTAAAATATGAATGAGTTTTTTCATATGACATTAAACCTAGTGGACATTTACTTGGTTATTTTTAGGTTCGATAGATTTGCCTTTACTGCACAAACATGAAGAAATTCATTGGTTAGAATGCCCTTTTGTGTGTGTTTGAGCTTTCGTCATCCTTGAGAAACACAGCCTTGATTACTGTAATAAGAATGCATTTTAAGGTGCCATGGAAGTTAACAGGAAATGACAAAACAGGAAATGACAAAACCATACTGAATTTGAAAATTTTTTGAACCAAGATAACAGAGTTCTATTTGGACCTCCAGTCAGTTTAACTAGTTCCACATATCATTTACATGACCGGGAACACAATGGAAATGGTCAGAATGACCATAAACATGATGAAATAACCTTTTCAGCCCTCTGAAATGTGACTATCATATCATCTTGTGTTTTGCAATCAATTGTAATTCATATAATGCAGTTTTCCAGTTGTAACTCTCTATGATTAGATGTAAATAAATTTACAATTTACAATACGGAAAAGCAAAAAAAAGAATCTCTTTGGGTTTACAAGTTTGTTACTGTGCTTTTATAACTTAAGACTTAATTCCAGTAAAATGCCTACCTGTAGCTTTAATGAGACAGTTTACCAAAATCAGCAAATGAATCAGCTTTTGCAGCATTTTCTATCCAAACCAGCACAAACAACGTGAGCAACGTAATAAACACGAGTGACTAGTTTCAATCACTCAATAGGCAATATAAATTTCCAATAAACATTTCTAATGTATCTATATTATAGTGGTCTCTCCATGACTCCACGTTCACTAGCTTTCACTAAAAGGTCGACCAGATTAGCGTGCATCGTATTGAGAGACGGCAATAAGTAAATTGAACTTGAATGAATCCGGATTGAAAAATATTTGCATGCTGTGTGGTTTTAAATAGAAAAAAAGAATGGAAACTGACTTTTATATTCATTGACCGATTTAAGGTACAGCTGGAAAATAACATTTTGGTAAAACATTGCTATACCTGCACATGTTATTTTCTGGTACAAAATAAAGTATGAAGACATGTGTCTATTTACTTGCTTTTTTCAGGAAAGTATCATGACATTGTCTTCTTTTAGAATATCTGGTAGAAGTTCAATGGGAACTCCAGGAAATTCTGATATTTGAAATTTTCTTTCAAAGTTTCCAGACAACACAGGAGCTACCATTGGCCTGTTCCCAGGTTTACTAAAAGTAGACAGTGTAATGATACTTTCCTGAAAAAAGCAAGGAAATACACACATGCCTTCATACTTTATTTTGTACCAGAAAATAACATGGGCAGGTATAGCAATTTTTTACCAAAATGTTACTTTCCAGCTGTACCTTAAGCTTTAAATTGTACCTTTTTGTCATTATAACATGTACCTCACCGCAGCCGATGAAAAGCCATTTTTGCTTTATTACCCAGTCCTTGCACTGAAAATGTGAATGCATGGAATCGCAAAGTAGTCTCAATGTTTTGTGTTCCCTGGAGCTTGAAAATACTGTTATATACACGAGAGCTCTTCAAACTCCAGGAAATTCTGATATTTGAAATTTGAAATTTTTTCAAAACAAATGGGCCGAAAAGTTAGAGGTATGCGGATGCTATTCTAAACGGAATGGTAACTCAGCTGAACTAAACTAAACGTTATCGCGTATTGGGGTATTAGGTCCGTCAGATGGGGTGAGTTGGGTGTGGCAGCAGCCTCCTCTTGACCTCCCCCCTCCCGAGAAAATCACAGACACTCTCCGAATGTTTTGGTTTATTCTACTTTTCTAGAAATCGGAATAAAAAATCAAACAATTGAAAAAATACTCAATGCACACAAAAAAAGATAAATTTAAAAAATATTTCTGTTTTTTGGGAGCTCGAGTTGTATTTGTAAACACTTCAAAAGTGCCCAGAAATTCGAAATCTCTCAAGGTCATTTCAATTAACTTGGTTCAAATTTAACATATCTGACCTAAAATTTGAGATTTGACCCTGAGCTGACCTTCAGTGGCAGTCGAAAGGTCAAAAAGTTGATTTTTCAGATTAATTACATAATTGGTATTGGATTCAACATTTCGGTCAACTTAATTACAATTTCAGACTTTCAAGGTCAAATTTCAACTTGCTTTAAATTGAACATACATCATCTAAAAGTTGTCAGGAGTTCATATAAGACCCTAAATTTGAGATTTGACCTTGAAATTGTTAAAAACGACAACGGGGACCTCCTACAAAACTGTGAGCCCCTACAGCCTAAATGTGACAGCTCCATAACAGAAGAAAGTTTTAATAGAAGTTCACATATGAAATAAATGTTAGGTTCTTATGAAAGAATAAAACTTCAATTATAATCTGGCAGTTCGGATAAGAGTAAAACTATGTGATATCCCGCCTCCATCCAATATTAATTTGTTTCGATTATTTTTTGTATAACGCATGGAAAATAACTTTAAAACTGAGCAATGTCATTAGTATTGTGATAATAACGTCCCTTATACCTATTTATTACAGGTCGTGTAGACCATTGTTGCCAGATTTATAGCAAAAACATTGACTTTTGCACGTTGGTGATGATGTGCCTTTTTTAACAGATCTCATATCTTCAAAAAAATACTAGATGGCCTAACATATTTTGCCATGCAATTCGCCTATTCAATTGGCAATTCAGTTGTAAATTTTCTCTTGAAAAAATAAAGCTTCCTAATTTGTTGTGTTTTCTTGCAGAAATCGCCTAATCCCCCCTCCATCCATTTTGTACAATCACCAGGCTAGTAGATGGGTTAACTACATTTGGACTTCATTGTATGATGCAAATGTCCCCTTTGGCATGGAAGTACCTTAGGGCAATAGAAATAAATTTATCCAAAGACACAAGATGATAAAGATGGCGCATTATATTGGAAATATACACATTTTTCAAAATGGCCGCCAAAAATTCATCAGAGACAATATCTTTGATTCTGTGCATGCTACAATTATAAGATTGGTGTCAAAAAATACAGCGATGTAGTCGTAGAATCTATTTTATAAGATCTTGAGTCTTGAAAATGAAGAACTTCCACTTTAAATTCAAAATATACGCGTTTTTCAAAATGACTGCCAGAAATATAACAAAGAAGATATCTTGAATTACGAATACTTACAAATTAAGATATCTTACCTTACAAAATGTCCCCTTTGGCATGGACATACCTTAGGACAATAAGAACAAATTTATCCAAAGACACAAGCTAGATGGCGCTTTATAGTAGAAATATACACATTTTTCAAAATGGCCGCCAAAAATACATCAGAGACAATAGTTTTGCTTCTGTGCATGCTACAATTATAAGAGTGGTGTCAAAAAATATATTAATGTAGTTGTAGATTCTATTTAATTAGGTTTCGAGTCTTGTAAATTCAGCACTTGCATTTTATATTCAAAATATATGCATTTTTCAAAATGGCTGCCAGAAATATAACAAAGAAGACAAGGAGGATTGGCTCCCAGGATCGAAACTCGATATTTTCCAACAATGAAAACGTCGAAATGTCGTTATTTTCTGAAATTAAAACCGACTATAAATTCAAAATAAACAGTTCAAAAGATTCGAACCAATATCTCGATCATTTCTTGTGAGTTTTGGAATTTTTCGTTTGGAAATAAGACCAAAATTCACGATTTAAATGTTGAAGTGAACAAAATGGCGGCTGTTTGAATTCGAATTTTGTATTACGACATACCCATATATGGGACAGAATATCGGTGGTGCACTCTGGGAGCCAATCCTCCTTGAAAGAAGATATCTTCGCTTCTAAGCATGCTGCAATGATAAGAGTGGTGTCAAAGTATACATAATATTGGGTTGTAGAATCCATTTAAATAGGTCTTTCATAATAAGAATTTTCACTTTATAGGAAATTATGCGTTTTTAAAAATGGCCACCAGAAATATAACAATGATGATATCTTCACATCAGTGCATGCTACACTGATACGATTGGTGTCAAAATTTTATATTTATGGGGTAGGAGAATCAATTAAAAATATAACAAAGATTGTATCTTTGCTAACAAAGATCGTACCTTTCCTAACAAAGATTGTATCTTTGCTAACAAAAATTGTATCTTTGCTAAAAAAAAATTTTACTTCTGGGCATAATATTTCATAAAATTGGCTTCAAAATCTACATTTTTGGGAATGTAAAAACTATTTAATTACGCAGATGCAAGTCGGTAGTTACCATTTTCCCCACCAGGTGATTAATTTGGGTGAAATAACATCGCAGGGTATTACAAAGTTCCCTTAAACTTGAATATTCTTAATTTTTAGTGGTTCACATTTCATATTACTCGTTTGTATCTGATAGTCGTACAAATTAAAATATCTCCATAGTTAAAGAAAATATTATCTGCACAACACAAGAAAAGATATTTCACTTTTTGTGTTTTACAGCATGGGGACTATGGGGAATCTCCCTGACCTAAATGTCACATTTTCGAATTTAAAGTTGATTCATTTCAAAACCACATTTCTTGATGTTTTTATGACGATTCCAAATTCAACATCAGTAATTTTGAATTTTTAATGACAAAAATAAAGATTGTTACTTCTCTTTTTGCTCAAATTCACCATAAAGACCAGTGTCTCTTTAATAACTTGCAATAAACATGCATTTACAAGGGTAGTGCAACTTTTGTTGTTGCAATGCAACATACATAAGAGAGAAATGTGATAGATAGAAACCACGCAGGACAGACATACATATTATGTACCTATAGTTAAAAAGGCCAGAAACCTTCTGGTGAGAGAAAATCTTGAAGATCGGAATAGATTTCAAGGGCTGCATATTATGACAGTATTGCAGAACCCTCTTCATCTCCTCTGATCAAATCATGGACGATGTCTCTGTTTACCGAGTCTTCCACTAATCCAACCAACAAACTATTAAGCTTGTTGTTGATTGGCAACCATTTCGTAAAAAGACATGTATGTACACACATACAGCACTGAATATTGTCATATTGAGAAAAATATTCTTATTTTCTCATTTAAACATTTAAGAGATTAAGATTTTAAGATTTTAAACGGCAATATGTCTTTTGCCATGAGTACTTCCAGGCCATAAATACAGCGTTTATTATTAAAACAATGTGTTTTATTCCAAGTGAAGTCCCCATGATTGTAAAATATGAGTCCAACTTTCTGGAAAATTATGGATTAGGATCCCACCTTGGCACTTTTTTAAAATGTTAAGCTTATTTTGTAAAAAGATGATCTTGTTTTTCTCAATTAAAACATATCAAAAGTTTCCTCACTTTATATCAACAATTACTAAAAAGGGGACGGTATTTGAAATGCGCTGAAGTTGAAAACCACATCTCCCATGCTATCCATTGTTTTCAGCATATACTCGGGGTGGAAGGTGTGAGAATTGTGCAGAAAATGACTTTGTGAGCTGGATGGAGTTTCTCTGTATTTTTCATTCTATTGGGGTTTCCTGCATAAGGGATTTCGCCTGCGAAGCATAGAACTCTTGCGAACATATCTAAATATTGGTCCCAAGAAGACATACCTTGAATTTTTTAGAAAAAATTGGCTAAAAATGGAAACTACAAAAAGTCAAAATGTTCAACTCAAACAAATTTCTAGCTATCTAATATTAACACTATGTATTATTTAATGTTTTTCAGATGTTTAAGGGCCTTCATTAGTGTACTAGTGTCTAGAAACAAGATAATTAAGGACAAAATTTGGCATTTTTGATCATTTTCGCTTTCAGCAGTAACATATAGTTCCTTATATCTTGAGTTTAATGTTGACTGGTTGTTGCAATTAT